AACGGGGCTGTTTCTGGTTGTGTAGGATTGGGCAGAAGAGGTTTGTTTGTTGTATGCTGTTTCTTTCTTTGGGTATTGTGTTTCCTTCTGTGTGTGACATACCTCCATTTGTCTTCCTCCAAGGGTTTATCGGTAGGGTCAAGTCCTCTGGGAGTTATCTGTTCGTTATTTGGTTCGATTTGGGTGGAGCTTTCTTCTGTACGTTGGGGTTTGGCTAGAGTTCCCTCTAAGTTCCTAACCTTTTCCTTTTCAGCCATTTCTACTCCTATACTGGATACATATATCAATCTTTTTTTTAAAAAAGCGAACCCCACAAAATTCAAGTTAGTGTATTATATTTAAAGTGAGTTTCCACATCATTCTTCACAAGATAGAATGGGCATTCATGTGACATTGAAACTTTTATACTTTTAGTAGAAAAATTTAATCTTTCCCAAGCTTGCAAATTCGTCAGTAGGATACAATATTTTAGGTACAGCATTCAGTGAAATGGAATCAATGAAAGAGAAGAGCCAGGCCAGTATCTATTTATGATTACTAAGCTTTCAGGATTGTTAAGTACATAAATCAGTTTGCTGAAAAATCTAGTTTCCTGAAATAAACCCAAGAATGGAATACATTTGTATTATATATAACTTGAATAGCTGACTCAGTCTGTTATCACTCAGTGTTATCCGTGTCTTGCAAAGTGCTCACTTATTGAACAGCTTAAACATATAGCTTTATGACAGGATATCATTATTGTGATAACAAGATGTTACAAAAGCTTAGCCAGAACAAACAGAAAATATCTACAGTTAACCAAACTAACTAAATCAGTTCTAGAGAAACTAAGCTCTCCAAACTGACCTTAACCTCCTTTAGATTAATTGAATAAGAACCAGATGTAAGAAGGGATTATTCCAGGCAGTAGTATATATAGTTCAACATTCTCTGGTCAACGACAACAAGATCCATTTATTTATGCATTTATATGTTGCCATTCAAAAAAAAATAGGTAAATTTTACAATTTTAAAACCAAAAAGTAATATTAAAGCTACTGTATATGCTAAAAAATTTAAATCTCTATTTTTATTAAAATTTCAACCTTCAACACAAATATTTTTTTCAAATCAGAAAACAAATAAATAAACAAATCAAATAAATTCTAAATAAAGTTTTAAATATATGGAGACATAAGTTCCATGATAAACACCATTTTGTAATGGCTGGAATTTTCATGTGTCACAATTCAGCTGCTGGCCTGGAGTGTTGCTATTGTTGTAAACACTGTAAAACATGGGTTACATGTGTAGGGTAGAATAGGTTGTATTGTAAAGTTTTTATATTTTTTTAATGATTATTCTGCAGAGGTTCCCTAAAAATCATATCAAGAACTCCTCTGGGATAAAAAAGTTGAGAAAGGCTGCTCTAAAATATGCTGAATTATCCTGGAATGTAATATTTTTCTTAAAACTATAACATGTGAATCCTCGTTCATACATGAATTGCTTCAGGCATCAGAGGTTGTATCAAAAGTATTCTGCTTTGTTGCATGATGATAATTTATTAATTTGTTGCTCTTAATTTCAACCCAGTAGTAGTTTACACATAGTCTGCAACTTACAACCCTTCATTTAGTAACCGTTCAAAGACACATCAACGTGAAAAACATAATGATCATGTTCACCCAACCATTGTAGCATCCCCATGGTCATGGGATCAAAATTCAAGCTCTTGGCAATTGGCATATATTTATGGCAGTTTTACTGTTCCAGGATCATGGGATCTCCATTTATAACCCTCCCACCTTTTGATAAGCAAAAGGGAGAAGCCAGATTTGCTTAATGACCACATGATCCACTTAACCATTGCAGTGATTTGCTTAACAACACTGGCAAAAAAGTTGTAAAATGAGGCACAACTCACTTAACAACTGCTTTACTTAGCAACAGAAACTTTGGGCTCAATTGTGATTGTAAGTGATGGGCTACTTGCATTATGTGATGTGAAGAGAAGGCAATTATGCATGGATCTAATCCTTGGGAACTCCCATCATGTAAGTCCAAGAAGGTCCTATCTCAGAGTTTCGAAGAAGTGTGATAACTAAATGTAATGTAAAATCCTAAATGTAAAATCCCCTACTTTTCTCACATTACCCAAATAATTTTAAGAATTTATGGTAGGAATCTTTATCTTTTAAACAAAATGGAGAGAGACAAGGATAACAACTTCGTTATTTATCTAATTCCTACTCAAAGTGCAGAACTTTATCACCCATCTGGATGTCTTCAGTATCCAACAATGGATCTCCTAGCAGAATGTTGTGTTACTTTTAACTACCCTTTAATTCTGGGCAAATTATAGGGACAAATTAAGGCAGCTTTAAGAACTATCAAAAACATTCAAAAGGTAAAAAAAATTAAGTTCTACTGGCAGCTAAAAACTAGTTGGCTCAAAAATGCACATTCTTGAAAATCACAATGAATCAGGGATTTCTAAAGAAAGGAAATTGAAACTTGACAGCGTGATTATACATATTATTTAGTAACTTAAAGTCAATTGGGTTGATTCCCAAGAAAATAAGTATCAGACTTTTTAAATAGCCAACATTGGGAAGAGGTATCCTGGGTATAGTTGTTTGAGAGAGAGAAAGATTCCAGTTCTGCATCTTATTCAGAGTTATGCTGATTAAATTTTATTATTATGCTGTATTCATTATAATCATTTTCTGCAAAGCATTTGGCAGTATCAAAAGATGAGATAATTCATCTCTTGCAATGTTTATTTACAATTTGGGACACAATGTATATTTAAATCAAGCAAATATTTAGGATCATGGCAAAACAATGAGGAATCAATTTTCAGTTTTCTCTCGGGGCGTGCAAACCCTCTCTGTTCTAATTCTGGATTTCCAGAATTAGGAGCTCCAGTCCCATTCAATTTATCAGAAGCTCTCATGCCCTCAATGAATCTAATCCAGCTGCAATATTGATTCTCAGTTTCATGTGCTACTTTTGTAACTTATCAATTATTTAACAAGAATAAAAGGAGATTGCTGGAAGTGTCCTATTTCCATTACCCCAGACCTACCACATATTTAGGCTAGACATTTATCCATGCTTAGTGGGAAATAAGTTCCACTGAAGTTAATTGCCATATTGAAAAAGGCTTATATAGCTCAATATCATTCACTTTAAACATATATAATATGAATTTAAGCATTTACTAGCTCAGAAAGGCCCTTCCTTCTCCTTCATAAAAATGCTCCTTAGCCAAAAGTAGACGTAGCCAGTAGTCATCTTAAAAGCTAGTACAAGGCATAATACATATGAAATCAAGAGGACCAAGATAGTATATTTTAATCACATCAGAATCCCAACAGATTCTAAGCAATCTGCTATTTAAAAACTCATAAAGTTGAAGGAGAAGGAGAAATATTTTAGTCTTGCTTGTAAAGTAGATTTTATTTAATGGGCCTGCTTATCTGTTTGTTTGTTCCCTTTGTTTTGTAGATGTATTTCTACTGGATTAACTTTATGTTTTCATGTTTTACTTGAAGCTGTTAATGTTCATAAGCATTATTTGCTATCCTATGAACAAATCTAGGCTAGACTCATCTAAAGGCCAGCAAACAAAGAGACATTCCTGAAATTAACTACTGCCAACACCACATGCATAATGTACTATGTGTACCTTTAGACAAGGTTTTGCATGAACAAGCTGCCTTATGAAGGATCCAAATAATGACCTGTATTCATAATCTGCCATCTTTGTTTAACATTTCCACTATCTAGACTGCAGCCTCATTCAAACTGAGTCAAGACTACAATTCCCACAATTCCCTTTGGCCATTTTGATTGAGAATCTTGAAAGTGGCAACCAAGTCAAATAGACTCCTCCAGGTTGGGGAAGGGCATGCGTTCTACCTCTTGAAAGGTATCCCACCTTTATTTTTTTCCTTCTGAAAAGAAAAAAGGCTACCTTATCCATTCCATTCATACGATTTGGTAAGTGAATCAAGCTATTTTAAATTAAAACTTCATCTATAAACACCCTCTATGTCAGGGGTCTTCAAACTTGGCCCTTTTATGACTTGTGAACTTCAACTCCCAGAATTCCTCAGACAGCATACTTGGCTGAGGAATTCTGGGAATTGAAGTCCAAAGTCATAAAAGGGCCAAGGTTGAAGACCCCTGATCTATGTTGTCAGCAAGATATATATATATATATATATATATATATATATATATATATATATATATATATACACACAGGTAGTCCTCGACTTACAACAGTTCATTTAATGACTGTTTGAAGTTACAATGGCACTGAAAAAAGTGACCTATAATCATTTTTCTTATAACTTATGACCGTTGCAGCATCCCCACGGTCACATGATCAAAATTCAGATACTTGGCAACTGACTCATATTTATGACGGTTACAATGTTACAGGATCACATGATCACCTTTTGCATCCTTCTGGCAAGCAAAGTCCATGGGGGAATCCAGATTCACTTAACAAGTGTGTTACTACCTTAACAATTGCAGTGAATCACTTAACAACTGGGGCAAGAAAGGTGGGGAAATGGAGCAAAACTCACTTAACAAATGGCTCACTTAACAACAGAAATTCTGGCCTCAATTCAGGTCGTAAGTCGAGGACTACCTGGTATGCGGTCAGAGTATAAAAATATATTCTTGCAGCCAATGTTAGGATGATGACCGCCGTGGGCATCCTGCGACAGCTGAACGAATTCTTCCTACTTAAGTTCCCAGCGCAGAAAACAGACCCTTAAATCAGGGAAATGTAAAACCTGCCTCGAGAACGCTCCTCTCTTGCGATGATACGAGGAGGAGAAAGAACGGAAGAAGTCCCAATCCCCCTCGCCACCCCACTCCATCTTTCCCTCTTAAAAGAAGGAGCTGCGGGGATTACAGCATCAGTCTCGCTGCTGCCCAGGTCCTTGCTATCCGGGCACGGCAGCGGCTCGGTCCGAGATGCCCTCCCACCTTACCAGGTTCGTGCTCGCCAGGGTTGTCCGAGACCTCGATGACCAGCAACTCCCTGCCCTCGAAGCTGCGGCCCACAGTGTAGATCCTACTGATGGACGGACACTGCAGCCACACCGACACCAGCGCTTCCCGCAGCTCCGGGTAGCGGTGATACTCGAAGGAGATGCCGTCCTCCTGGCTCAGGCGCCGCCGCCTATTCGCCCCTCCGCCCAGAGCCGCCGGCGTTTCAGGCTCAGTCGCTTCGGTCTCCTGCAGACAGAGGCTGCCCGGCAAGGCGCAGAGCGCCAGCGCCAGCGCCCAAACCCGACCTCGCCCAGCCATGGCTCTACCGCAGCCTCCTCGGCGTGGAAAGGGAGGACGGCGGCGATTCCTGCTGCCAGATCAGCCAGCCGCCTCTCCTCTCCTCCTCTCCTCTCCGGCGCTCACTGTAGCGACGCCAGCCGAAGTCGGGCACGCCGCTCCGTTAAACCTGCTCCATTCAGGAAGGGGAGGCAGAGTCAGATGCGCTTAGCCCTGCAGCCTGCACCACTCGCTCCGGAGATCAGGGGACGGCCGGATGTACCACTTTCTACGTAGGGGATGCTGGGTGACGTTCTGCCACGCAAGTGTCGATCTAGGAGCTGCGGGGGAGTGCTGAGCGTTCTTCTCGCCAAGCGCATCCCTTTACTAGGCGCGCTTCAGGCTTGAACGAGGCCAGCTCAAGATACGGCGTCGTGCCGCATCATCTCTTTCGCATGCCAATTATGGTGCCGCCGAGAAACACATTACATAGGAATGGAGGCTTGTTTAACGTTTGCAGGACATAAGGAAGCCGGCCTGGCAGAGCCCTTTAATCCAAATGCCTTTAAATTGGATAGCAGTGACAGGGCATCTTAACGCATGCCCAAGATGGCTCTTGTCTGCCCAAACCCATGCCCTAACTAGAGCTGTGTTAGTTATGACAGGGCTTTTCAACCTTTTCACCCATTGTACCACTTTTAGGATAAGGCAACATCCGAGTAACATCACTCGCCCAGCAACGTGTCAAAAACCTGACCCCCCCCCAAAGGAAAAAAAATGATAAAGTACAGGTAGTCCTCGACTTACAACAATTCGCTTAGTGACTCTTTGAAGTTACAATGGCATTGAAAAAAGTGACTTATGACCATTTTTCACACTTATGATTGTTGCAGCATCCTCGGTCATGTGATTTACATTCGGATACTTGGCAACTGATTCATACTTATGACATTCACAGTGTCCCAGGGTCATGTGATCACCTTTTCCAACTTTTTGACATAGTCAATGGGGGAGGGGCATGGCCAGCTCATCACTCAGGTTGCAGGGTGCCTGTGTGGGGGGAATCCATGGGTCTCTGGTGGAGGGGGATGGGGGGTGCCCTCCTTCCCTCCCTCTCTCCCATTGTCCCTTTCTTCATTCTTTCCTTCCTCTCTTCCCTCCTTCTTTGTTCCTTCCTCCTTCCCTCCCTCCCTTCCATTGTCCCTTTCTTCCTTCCCTTCCATTGTCCATCCCTCCCTCCCTCAGGTTGCAGGGTGCCTATGGGAGGAGGAAACCATGGGTTTCTGGTGGAGGGGAGTGGGACTGGGGTGGGTGCCTTCCCTCCCTCTCTCCCTCTCTCCTATTGTCCCTTCCTTCCTTCCCTCCCTCCCTCCCTCCCTCTGTCCATCCCTCCCTTAGGTTGCAGGGTGCCTATGGGAGAGGGAAACCATGGGTTTCTGGTGGAGGGGAGTGGGACTGGGGTGGGTGCCTTCCCTCCCTCTCTCCCATTGTCCCTTCCTTTCTTCCCTCCCTCCCTCTCATTGTCCATTCCTCCCTCCCTCAGGTTGCAGGGTGCCTTTGGGGGGGGGAAACCATGGGTCTCTGGTGGAGGGGAGTGGGACTGGGGTGGGTGCCTTCCCTCCCTCTCTCCCATTGTCCCTTCCTTCCTTCCTTCCTTCCTTCCTTCCTTCCTTCCTTCCTTCCTTCCTTCCTTCCTTCCTTCCCTCCTTCCCTCCCTCCCTTCCATTGTCCCTCTCTCCCTCTCATTGTCCTTCCCTCCCTCCCTCAGTTTTAATTTCTTCAATGGTGGTTCCTTTGCTGAATCGCTTTCCTTTTGCAGTTGCTGCAGCTGGGAGCCCAGCACAGCCGCCATTCTTCCACAGGGGGAGGAGAGCGCAGGCAGTGGAGGAGCGCACGGGGGCGGGGAAAGAGCTGTGGCTGCCAGACTCCCTCTGGTGCGTTGCGCACAGCCGCAGCCGGAGAAAAGCAGCGAGCAGGGAAGCGGCTCATTCATTGCTGCAGCCAGCCCCGAGGAAGAGCCGGCGCGACCCCCAGGTGAATCCCGCCTGGCTACATTCTCTGTGGCCGAAAGAAGGGCTTTGATCCCGCTTGCCCTTCGCTCCAGCCAGGTCCATGAATGCCAGATTCAAGAAGATGGAGGAAGGCTCACATCTCCACCCCAAAACCCCACCCAGCCTGCTGGCCTTTCAAACCACCCTGGGGTTAGATCTGGCATTCACGGACCCGGCCGGAGCGAAAGGGAAGTGGGATCAAAGCCCTTCTTTCAGCTGCAAAGAAGGCTGGCTGGGGGTTTTGCGGTGGAGATATGTGAGCCGGCAATAGAAGAAGGGGACGACAGAGAATGAGATGGCTGGATGGAGTCACTGAAGCAGTAGGTGTGAATTTAAATGGACTCCAGAAGATGGTAGAGGACAGGAAGACCTGGAGGAACGTTGTCCATGGGGTCACGATGGGTCGGACATGACTTCGCAATTAACAACAACAACAATATGTGAGCTTTCCTCCGTCTTCTTGATTGTGGCATGGACCTGGCCAGAGCGAAGGGCAAGCGGGATCAAAGCCAGATTCCAGAAGATGGAGGAAGGCTCACATGTCTCCACCCCAAAACCCCCAGCCAGCCTGCTGGCCTTTCAACCCGCCCTGGGGTTAGATCTGGCATTCCTCTTCGCTCCGGCCGGGTCCGTGAATGCCAGAAGAAGCAAAAAAGTGCCGATCAGCTGGAAAGCGGGCTGATCCTGGCGCTTCCCCTGAGCCCTCACAGCCCCGAAGCGCTGATCAGCTGGAAAGCGGGCTGATCCTGGCACTTCCCCTGAGCCCTCACTGCCCTGGAGAAGCGCCGGTCAGCTGGAAAGCGGCTCTGATCCTGGCACTTCCCCTGAGCCCTCACAGCCGCAGAGAAGCACCGATCAGCTGGAAAGGGGCGCTGATCTTGACGCTTCCCCTGAGCCCTGGCCTCTCCCAAGCATTTTTTTTACTCACATGCTTTCAGCTGCACTCCCTTTCTCCTTTTACTTCTCTGCCTTCTTTGCTTCTCTGCCTCACCACGTGTTTGTGGGTAAAAAAAAAAAGTTCCATGAGACTTTCTAACTTCTCTCGAGAAGTTAGAAAGTCTGTTGAAATTTTTTTTTTTGTCTCACAAACACATGAAGGCCGAGAAGAACAGGAGAAAGAGAGTGCTTGTGAAAGCAGGTGAGTAAAAAAACACTTGGGGGAGGCCAGGGCATCTGTGTGGTGGCGGGGGGGGGGGAGGACCCAGGCAATGCGTGGTGTAGCTCCAACGGAATCTCCACTGAAGACTGCATGAGGCTGCCTGCTGCCAATCAGCTGGAGCTGTGCACTTTGATCCTGGGCTCTCAGTACGACTCAGGCAACTGCAGTTCCAGCTGACTTTGCCACAAGCCTTTTTTTACATTTTTTTCAACCTGTCCTACGCGTACCAGCCAGGTGCTCGTGTAACACCGGTTGAAAAGCCCTGGTTTAATATATAAAATAGTGGTACTTGTACCTTGTTCATTTAAAATTTTACTTTGAAGATCCACTCCACACTAAATAAAGGCAAGTACTTGCCAAATTGGAAATATAGAATTTTTTCTGAGAAACCACCAGTTCTTTGTCACTAGCAACATTCCACAATGTCTTCATTTTGCTAATCATGTGCAAAGGATTGGTTTTCTTCTGACCAGTTTGTATGTCAGCCACTTAAATTATTGGTGATATTAAAAGAAATATATCTTCAGATATGTCAACACAAGCATAATATCTCTGCTGCCTTAATGTCTTCACAATTCACTAGGAAGAAACAGATTATTTAGGAACAGGTGTAACATTAAATATACATTCAAGAATGAGCATGATCAAAATAGCCATACATTACATTAAGCTGTTTGTATTCCAAGTGCTGTTTCTCTAAGAGCAATTATAGTATTTTCCTACACTTTCATGTATTGAGTTCTGCATTTATTTATGTGGGAATGGCATTTGCACAGTATACTAAAAATTTAATTTTAATATTGTTCAATATTAATAAAATGTGTACTTGGAAATAAAGGTTTCAAAAAATAGTATATAATATAAACTATAATATTTTCCCATTCCTTAATTCTTGATAATTTGTTTAAGCCAAATACAGATCTCAAATTTGTCAAAACTATTAAAACCCAAAGAACAAAACTATAGTGTCTCTGAGCATAGTTTGTAATTACAATTAAGGAATTTATTTTTAAAAACAGAATTTAACCGGGCTCATGCTTATTATTTTACAAAATGTTATCGCTCTAATTTTAGATTTAAAAAAGTTTAACACTTGGTACTGCCAAACAATTGGGATTTGAAAATTCTGTCACAAATCACTCAGATATATGCCTCACATCCATGTTAGTTTCTTGCTAATTTAAGTTAGGAACATCCAATCTGCACATCTTTTCTTCAGTAGCTTCCCCAGTGACACGCAGGATCATTCCACAGTGATTCAGTGGCATATTCCAAATAGTGGCAACATAATTTCTTACCGGTTTGACATAGGAAACAATACAGAATAGGATGGATTAGGCTTTTGAATAGAATTCATATACTAAAAATGCCCCCTCCCCCCAAAAGTACCTAATGAAACCACCCCTAATTATACTGTCTCATTAAAACAGTATAATTACATTGTACATGTACTGTAGCACCTGGGAACCAAAAAGGATTTTTTTTAAGGTTTGGTAATTTTTTTTTTTTTTAACCAAAGGTTTGTTTAATTTAAAAGTTTTAAAAAGTAATAAATCCCCAACTAATTTAAAATTATTTTGGAGTTTCAAACTATAATCTAAAGTTTTCTCTTCTTGAATATTTAAAGTACCTGCTTTACTTCATAATATTCATTATTATTGGTCTATGAAGTGTATCCAAGTTCTGACAACAATCAAATTATAGTTCTTTTTTATGCAATAGCAAGCAAAAATACTGCCTAACAATGTTGGTCACCTTTATCTATACTTTAAATCAATTCTATCATCCTCCAAAATTCTAGGGAGAACTCATTGCTAAAGGAGATCCACAGTAAACATACCATGTTTCAGTCAAGCAGAATGCTACGATCCTTTCACACTGTTCCTGCCTTTTAAAATTCATTATAAGCAACACGTGATTTACAGAGGACTATTTTGCATTAGAAAAGCACACTATATTCCTGTGTCTGGAGAACATACACTCCATTTTATATGTATCTGGGCAGCATTACATGCATACTACTTAGTCACATGTTTTGAAGCACGCAGAGCTGAGCACCTAATTTCGGTCTTATGATAGTAGTTTCCTCAGATCATTGACATTTATTCCATCAGGTAGTGGCAATTAGTGGTTCAATACATCTGAACCACTAACGAGGC